CTTCTCTCTTTTTTTGCCTATCCATCGATGTCTTCACACATCGCGGAACAAAAATAGCACTTGGAATGAGACGGGAAGGCTCGTAGATGACAAGCAAGACGAAAAAATGTATGGAGATTATATTTAAAATTTGTTTCAAAAATACAAACTGAATCGAGCATACTCGACGTCTGAATGTATTGCATTACGAAGACTCGTTCATACTGGACATCCTAATGTAATATGTATGTCGGAAAGGATCATACCGCTATTGGACAAAAATTCGTACTTCGAGGTCAACCGGTCATTTCACTCAGATGTACGACTTGTACATCTTGTCACGCGTCACGCATCTAATCTATCTGAGAAAAACAAGAATTTGTGAGCGTTTGTACTATGTCAAGGAATTTGTATGTCTTTTCGTCAATCGCCTGTTAACGTATCTATTAAAAACTTTGCATACACATTCATAGCATACACTCATAGCGACGAGGCGTTGATTAGATAAGCCGAAAAGACTAAAACTATATAGTCCGTTGAAGAACCTCCGTTAAACGCATTTAAACGACGCGCCTTGGTTTATGCAAAATCTTTCGTTGAACGAGATGCTCTCACACCGTGCAGTTCACGGTACTTATAAAAGTGCATTCCGCAAGGAATGACTGTGACGAATACATTTTATAACGGTTTTAATAACGGAAAGCAAATTGATGTATGTTCATACACCTCTTCAACTTTTCTTTTGCACCAACCAATTGATAAAATTACGCTCGCATTTACGATACTCGCGTCTTTTAACGAGACATCGAGTCAATTCTTCATTTTTTGCTCTATATAGCTTAGATACAGATAATTGAAAGTTTTGATACTGCACATAGAAAAATATGATTCTCATTGCCATTTCTGCTCCTGAGAAACTTCGCATTCGAAGAAGTACATCGAAATGGTGTCACGTTCCTTTTTCGATCTTTCCGCTATCCTTCGAGGGTAATTATCTCTATGACGACTGGTTATTAATATTATTAATTTTCAAAGTTGCCACGATCGATAGATATCATTTAGCGATACATTCGCTGCTTGTAACCAAAATTCGCTAAATAGTAAAAAAAAGGCAGGTTGATATGACAACAATATGGAATGTATCTTTGCAAATGAATGCGTACACTTGCGGAACAAAATAAAATGGAACGAAAAGAAGTAATGTCGAAGAATTATCATTTCGAGCAACGATTACAAGAATACTGAATTAACGAAGTTCGCGTAATACGTCGCAAAATAATAATTTATTAAATAATTGTAAAAATAAAGGAAGAGAAAAATATATATACACACACACACACGCGCGCGCGCGCGCGCGCGCGCGCGTGTGTGTGTGTGTGTGTGTGTGAGATTCGCGTTCAGTGAAATCGTTGCCGAATTGAGAAGTCGTTTACAATTGTCTTTTTTTTGCGATTTCGCATAAAGCTAATAAGCGCGTCGCAAGAGAATCAGATCTTGTCTTCTCTACATTGCTCCTAATCTTACAATTATTATTATTATTGTTGTTATTATTATTACTAATATTATTGTGTCGTTATTAATATTATGATTATTATTATTATTATAAGTTTTATTATCGTCATCGTCATCATCATCATCGTCATCATCATC